CATTTAACTTGTTAAATGTGTTCACATATTAGAATTATCACCTGTTATAGCATGTGACAATGGTAATATGTGAAGACATTTAATTAATTAAATAGTCAAATGTGTAAAAAAAAAAATTGTGCAAATGTGAATAATTTTTTTTCTTATGATATTTTTTTCTATAGGTTTTTCTAATATAATGTTTTAAACTTTTCTTATAATTTTCTTTTTAACTTTTTTATACTTTCATATAATTTTAATACAAATGCTTTTAAACCAAATATTTATAAATGTTTTAAATTTTTCTTACTAGTTTTTAATTTTTAATTTTTTTTTAATATTTTCGTAAAAAAAATTATAACTTTCATACATTTATTTTCAAACTTTCTTTTACAACATTTTTAAAGTGTTTCACATATTTTATTTGACAATTTAATATTTTTTCATAACATTTTAAAATATTTTTGTTAAATACTAGTTTAAAATGTTGTATTAAAAAAAATTAAAAGCTTATAGACTTCTAATTAAAAATTATTAAAAAGTTTAAACATTTACATTATATAGATTTTTTTTTTGTTTTTCATTTGCTAAGTAATATTTTTCTTTTCTTTTTTTAGATGACCCTCCATACTTATTATTACATATTTAATTATTTTTGATTGTATTGTTAGATATTAGTTACTTTAAAAATATTGTATATGCTTAAAAACAAAAGAAAAAAAATTATAAGAGGTATTTCACAAAACAAAAACATATTTATTAATTAAAAAATAAAGTTTAAAATTGATCAATATTTAATTAATATTTAAGAAATTATGGATATTTTAAAAATAACGTTTGAAAAAAATAATACAAGCAAATATGAAAAATAAAAGCGTTATTAAAACTGGGGAAAATGATTTAACAAAGTAATTAACTTTTCGTTTTGTTTACATTTATATAATTTTTTTGTGCACATTTAACCACTTAACTTGTTAATTTGTTTACATATTACCATTGTCACCTGCTATAACCAGTGACAATGGCAATATATTAACGCATATAACAAGTTAAATGATCAAATGCGTAGAAAAATAAAGAAGTCACCTGAATGTTAACAAAGCAACAAACATGATTTACCCTGGTAAGTCATTTTCCCTATTTTAATTGGTTATTTACTTATTTTGACTTTTATTATTCTTTTCTTCAGGTTTGCACTACAAGAAATGTTGGCATTATCGGCGACATTATTAGCGGAGGCGGAAGCAATAGCGATGCCAATTTTTAAGTGTCGCTAGTAATACCAATAAAGTCAAATTTGTGTGTTTGGGTTTAGTATGTTCCCTATCCATTGATTAGCACCGAAATCTTTGGCACCCCTCATCGTACATAAGAAACATCGGCGACGCCAAATCTTCCAACAAACTAGTCGCCGCTAATGGTCCTAATCGCCGCTAAAAACGTTGTCGATAATTTTTTCTTCATTTAGATTGATGAATTGGCTCCTTTCTGTCATTCATGGTTGTCTCTCCATCTCACTCACTTTATGACGATTTCGTCCATCTATATCTAACTTCAGCTTATTTGTGCGATGTTTACACCACTACACCACTTGGAAACACCCCACTATGACATTAGCGATGCAGGGAAAGAGATTTATCGGCGATGCCTCTTTTCTTTGGCGATGGTAGTGTATATCCTTCCTCATTTATCTCTCGTCGTCTTTAAACACAGTTTCCTACTTCAATTTCATTATTTGATGTCACCGTCGACGATTTCAACTCACTTGTTTGACGTTTTACACCACTAATGTGCCCCCGGGCTTGTCTTCCATTGACTGTGAGAACGATCGAACTCTTTGCATTCAATTAAAGTGGAGAGACAAACAACTCATAAGCTGATGAACGGGAGGGAGTCCTCGGCCAACGCTCTGATGATAAAGTCATGTTTCATTAGTTAAAATATGTGTATGACAACATACCTTGTGGACATGGTTTTGATCGTTTATTTATAGTCGACGTTAGTAGGTAGCGATCTCTTCCTTGGCCGAACAGGTTTGAGGTCTTGTCACATTAATGGTTGTGTGCTTGCAGGTACGTCTTAGTGTACCCTATAGTCATTTACCAAATGTTCGTCGTTAGTAAAAGGATCCATCAACCATCAGTTGTAATACAACCTTTATTACTTTAAGTTCCACTTCCCTTTGAAACTATTATGACAACACCTTGTACTTTGTTCATATTCTCTTATGGACTGGTACATATGGGTTAGTACATATAGATCAGTATATAAGGATGGCTTGGTATATACGCCTGGTTCGATATATATGCATGGCTCGACATAGCGAGGGTATATGCACATCTTCAGGCCTTATACCCTATTAAGTCTCCCCAGTTTGGATTATGACTTTGTTTTAAAAAAAGATAATTCAAACTCAAATGTTTTAGAGATGTAACCGTTATGAGCGGAGAAGAATAAGCATCTAAGTTAAATTTCAGCATGATGGTTCGACGACTCCAAGTGCTCATCATGATGCCTATAACTGTCTATTCAGTTCTTTTCCATTTAAAGATGCTACAGTGCATAACTGCCACTTTGTCTGCTTCATAAGTGTGCCTTCCCTTGATTTTCTATAAGTATCCTTTCTCTCTTGGCTATTTGTATCGACATTCCATTTCATCTTCCGAATTATTCTCCACTCTTATTGTTTCGCCTTATTCCTTCATGGATAAACATTAGATTTCAAACATTCGCACCGTGATGTAATGTCCTAAAAATTACTAAGTAAAATTTACATTTTTGAATTCCAAAAGAAACATCATTCTTTCATTTCAAACCCATCAAATCGTGATAATGTATAAAATAATTATCAGAGTACAAATAATGTCATAAAATGCAGAATGTTGGTGGATGTGGTGTGATCAATCTGGGCCCTTCCCTTTCAAACTAGAAGTACCTGAAACTATAAACATAAAGTTGTAAGCACAAAGCTTAGTGATTTTCCCCAAAATACCCTATATCATACGTACATAACAATCAAAACATAAATGGTTCTATTTCACTCCCTTCAGTCTCTTTCAACTAGTGTCGAGATTCACCCGCTTCGGTCTCTTTCAACCAGTACTCGGTCTATTTCACCCCCTTTCGATCTCTTTCAACCGGAATCGGGTCTATTTCACCCTTACAGCTAAGCATACAATCATATCAACAAGAGTCACAAAGACAAAAAGCACGTACAAGCATAACAGTAACTGTTACAAAAACAACTATCATCCCACAAACATAATCCTTTGGGTCGACATTGGTGCCCTCGACCCATGAGTACAATGAAGGAACTCACCTATCAAACGATGGTCAAATGAAATTGCTACTACAACTGCGAACAAAGATGTTACCAAGCTACCTATACAACCATATAAAGTACATCATTGGCTTCTCCTACAGGACTAGGGGTTTGACCAAAAGTCAAGGCTAGTCAAAAAGTCAAAGTCAATGGTCAATGTTGACTCGCCACATCATATCCATCCTCGGACACGTCGTGGTCCCTAAAGGACAAAATAGATGATTTGACCTAGTCGTCACGGTGTGGTGACCTGATGCCATGTCGTGGGAACTGGGTTCCAAACAACTTAATTGATTACGTTGTTTTCTTCAACCTCACGAGCTTCAAAGCTCAGATCTAACTCAAAACATGATCTAAAAGGATGAAGTTTCTAACTTTACCCATTAGGACCGTCCAAGAAGGTCCAAAACTCAAAACCTAGGTTCCACAAGGCATGAACTTAACCATTAAGCACTTAATCCTTTAAGTATGAAGTCCATCTTTTCCAGAAGTGTTTTTAACACTAAAATCAACATGAAAGTTGGTGCTTTATAGACATGCACATCCAATGCATGCTCGAACCTATATTAGGTCAAAATGAGAGTTTATGACCTAAATCTCAAGCATGACTTCAAAATACAACCAACTTCATATCCAAGCTACAAACTACACCAAATGACCCATAGATTCATAAAGTTACAAATTTTATGAGATCCCACCATTCTAACTAACTAGAACAAGAAGATTATGGGAAAATTTTCAAGATCTAGCATCCTAACATGATAAAAGTCAAGTTTAGGACACTTATAAAGGTCAATGGAAACTTGTTTGCTGGATCCTAGGTCAATAATTTCTCTTCTTCCTTCAAAAGCTTCTAAGAGCTCCAAAAAGAGCCTCAACAATGGAGGGGAAAGATTAGAGTTTCTGTAAGACTTGAGGAGGCTGAGGATGAGCTAACCCTAGCCTCCTCATTCCTTTAAATAGGGTCATCCCAAAATTTAGGTTTTTTGTCATCAGGTGGCTGCCACGCCGTGGCCACATGCTGCCACGCCATGACGGCTAAATGAAACCCGCGTTTTAAACTTGACTTACCATGTCTTGGTGGTCCTTCACCACGTCATGGCAACCCCAAACATAAAATGAAATAAATACAAAGTATCTCAAAATATGGATGTTACACGTGATGTCCAAACTTACTCCCAAAAGTTTGGCAGATATCATAAAGAGGTATGAGGTTGATCTCAAATTTCATCCCCGCTTACCGGAGTCTGGTAATGTTATTGTTGATGTTTCATAAGGCTTTGTTGATGTTTATTGGGTGTTTTTCAAATCTGGTTTACGTCTGTCGACGTTCGATTTCTTGAAGTCAGCTCTAGACTATTACCATCTTCATATTCACCAGATTACTCCTAATGGGTTTCGGAATATTATCTACTTTGTGATGCTATGCTCTGACATAGACATTTTGCTTCTGTTGATATGGTCGCCGACCCTTCGCCTGAATTGACCCTCAAAGAGCAACACATTGTACATTGTTTGTTAGGGAACTTTGTTTAGTGGACAGATCCCGAGGAAGTAATGTTGGGTATGGTAGGGATAAGTTCTCACTGGAACAAAATAGGGGAAAACCACTAGAAAACCTAGCTGGGAAAGAAGTTACTTTACTAGAGCGGTTGCATAACATTTGGTAAGATCTACCTTGGTTACGGAAGATATTACTATGACCAATTCTCATTCTTGGTTAGAATCTAGCATAGATTCTTCCGCGAATCTTTCTGGTCTGAAATCCACTGTGCCTGTGATTCCTTCTCCTACTAAGAAAATTATGAAAATAAAGCACGACAATAGGACACCTCTGTCTTCTTCTACCAAAGCAGCATTGAGGAATTTTTCATTGAAAAGGAGAGTAGGGATATGGGTAGAAAAGACCCTTTTTCTGGAGAGTGTGACATGTCAACTTGACAAGATGATTAACCCTTCTCCTCCCAAACGAAAGAGGACCGTTTGTGATGGCGATATGAAGAATCTTGGTCCGAAGATTTTGGGTTTCGAGTCTTGACTGAGCCTACAAATGTTGATTCCTCCTTGGATCCAACCCTGTCAGTTGACCTTCATGATTGTCTAGTAAATTCTGCCCCGAAATGAAGCATGCTGAGGAAAACCTCCCTTTGTTAGATGCTGGAACGGTCGACCTATAGGGAGACCCCTATCTCGAATCCAAAAACCAACTTCCTATTAGCTCCGTGGAGTCGATGTTAAAAGGTAAATCTTCCATAATTCTTTCTGTTGCAGCTGTCTTTCAAGAAAAACTCTTTGCCTCAGGACTTGAATATTTTCAAGCACCAAATACTGAGTGTACGATGGTGATTGTGGACCCTCTTCCTAATGATTCTGGCATTCATGGTCATTCAATATTTTCCCCCTTAGAAACTCTTGACACTGATACCTTTTTTGGGGATGACTATCACCTTGATCCACCCACAAGTGTTCCTAAATGCATTTCAGAACTGATTGGTATGTTCTACTCGATGAACACATTACGTATACATTTTTAATTGTTGATTCTTAAGATGATGTTCTTTTGTTGTTTATTTTAGTCTTTCCTTCCTCTGATAAAGAAGCTCCCATGCCCACACTTGTTACCTTTGTAGCTTCCCTGCCCCAATTACAATGACCATTTTCTAGGAACTCTATCCCCAAGGGCTCTGACTTACAAATGTGTCAGATGAGGAAAGTCTTGACACATCCCGCTCGTATAGGATAGAGGGGATGTATTTGTTAAATGAAGTTTCTAATTGTACTTGGGCTCATGCAAGCATTCCTGCTACCCAATAATTGAAATTCAAGGAAGCATTTCAAGATTTGAAGGGAATGCGCAGTTTCCATGAGCATTTAGAGGATGAAGAAAAGAGTCTGGGAGAAGAGGTAATGGGTTTATGGGAGAGGGACATGCATTTGGTGGACGATCTAAATGAGAGCCTTCATTCTCAAGATGAACTGAAGAAGCTGAATCAAGATCATCAAATTAAGGCTGATGATGCAATCAGTCAGCACCTAGAGCTAGATAACGAACTGGAAGAAAAATTCCATCAGTTTGAATCCTGGAAGTTTGATATACCAAAAAGGAATATCAATTGGAAATTGCCTTTTCGGACAAGGATGTGTGCATCAAATTGCTCGAGGAAGAGCTTTCCATCCACAATGCCCTTATTTTTTAGAAAAATGCTCAAATTACATCCCTGGGCGAGTTCCACGCCTCGGCCAAGCAAGATGCATTGAATCGTTATCCAGTGCCCGACCAGAGTGTGTATAAGTTGTAGTGGGTTGTGAAGGAAGGTATCCCTTCTTTTGTCCGAGTTGTATTGAATTTAGGGGATTTTGGTGATGTTAATGTTGCACTCTAGACTGCAGCCATCTAAATGGGGTGGCATCAAGCTTGCATCAAGATAAATGAAAAATACTTTGAGGCGTTGGAGGGAAAAAGTTTAATCTATTCATATCATGATCCTTAGCGTTGAATTTTGATTGCTTTTTCCAATATGAGAACTTATAAGTACTCTTTGTTTGAGCTTCTTGAGGGGGATAAGTTGGAAATTAGTGCATTAAAGAAAAATTAGAAACTTTGGATCCGATTTGCAAGCGTGATGAGGAGAGTACCAACATTTAATTAGGGGAAGGGTTGGTATTGGTACCATATGTAATTTTTTGTTCTATTTGTTTTATCAAATGACCTTATGTAGTTTTCCTTTTTGTTGGTCCTTTGAACAATATATGTAAACTTGAGGTGAGCATTTGGACTCGTGGACCAGACCAGATCTGGACCTTTTTTTGGACCCCTAGGCAGGTTCCCGGTTCTAGGATTTGCTCAAAACCGGTTCGATTTTTTTATCGGTTCTGGGTAAAAAACGATTTTGGACCTGATTTTTTTAAACTTCAAATCTATTTGCTAATTAATAAATGGATTTGACAGTGTGACTTTGACACTTTGACAAATTGCGTTCCTTTCTCATAACCTGTGTATGATAGAAAAAGGCTACATACAGTTTGTCGACGTAAGTCATGTAGAGTCATAAACCCTTCTCCTTTTCATACTCCACCTCGCACGTCTCATAGAGAAAGAATACAGTGAAAATCGACTTCCCTCAAGTCTCAACCAAATTGGTTTTCAACAAAATCGATTCCTTACAAGTCTTGGCGTTCAAGTTTGTTCTATCCTTCAAGTTCAAGTTCGACTTCTCTTAACCAAAATTGATTTTCATTTCAAGTTCACGCACGTTCACGTTCTGTGATTCTCCACTCTCTCTCTCTCTCTCTCTCTCTCAACACTTAACATTGTCGTTCTCCACTCCATCTTTCGTGCACAAATCAACAAACAATGTTTAGAAAAGGGAAACATGATTCACATTATATGAGGGTGGGAAAAAAATCAAGTTATAAGTTTCAACTCTTCACAAGTGTTATAAAGGGTGCAATCAAAAGTAACAAAAGCAAAAAGAAAGAATGATAATTGGATTGGAGATGATGATGATGATAATGATGAAACTCAAGTAAGTTTTGGTTGATTTTTGTTAACTTTTGTTGAATATCATAAAGTATGTTGTTATATTTAGTTGATTTGTTGCGAAAATATTATTTGGATTGTATATAAACTAGGGTTACGATTTTTGGTTGATTTTTGTTAATTTTTATTGAATATCTTATAGGATGTTGTTATATTTAGTTGATTTATTGTCAACAAGTTTTTGTTATGATTATATGTAAACTAGGTTATGGTTTTTGGTTGAATTTTGTTAATTTTTGTTGAATGTTATAAAGTAGATTGCTATGGTTTGTTGATATATGTTTAATCGTTTTATTTGTTTTTAGGTTAATCAAGAGGAATTTGTTGAGAATACACCACAAATTAATTTAGTCGACGATTTCGGAAAAGATGATCAACAAACTCTTAATAAATGAAAAAGAGCAAGTGTCAAAGAAAAAACGAATGGCAAAAGAAAAACAAGTGGCAAAAAGAAAAAGTGGCAAAGAAGCATCCTCTTGTTCGAACACATTAGATAAAGTTATGAAAGAAGAGGATGATGGTGTCAAAAGAAGAAATGGAAAATGTCATTGGTGTGAAAGGCTACTAAAGGCCAATGTGAATAGAAAAGGGACTTCTAGTTTACTCAAACAAGGAGGTATGTGTAAACAAAATTTGGATAAGGTACAAGATCAAACTCAAACCAAATTGAATCTAAAGAAGGAGTAAAAGGAGGATACTAGTGCTAAAACATGGAAATACGACGACACTAGGATAAAAAAGCATTAATTAACCTTTTTGTGGTACACGAACTACATTTCAAGTTTGTTGAAAACAAAGCTTTTGTGGAATACATTAACACACTAAATGTTAAGCTCGTGTTGTTATCTAGACATAAAATATACCAAAATGTTTCCGAGTTTTACATAGAAGAAATAATAAAAAATGGTTCAATTTTTAAGTAACCCAAAGACCGCTATACATTTAACAGTAGACACTTGGACGTCTTTTTGTCAAAGGACTACTTACATGGTCGTTAGGGCTTACTTCATAGACAAGAATTGGATAATGAACAAGAGAATTATAAACGTTAGGGAGATAGATAGCCATAAGGGAGAGGAAATGGGCCGAGAATTACTCGATTGTATTCACGGATGGGAAATGAAAAATGTCATGACTATTACCTTGGATAACTCCACTAAAAACGACAACACAATTAACTTTTTGGCTAAAAGTTGCCCAATCTTTACAAGGGTGGAAAGCATTCCCAAGTTAGGTGTATGGCCCACATTTTAAACCTTATAGTAAAGGATGGACTAAAATACCAAAACTATCATCTTGAGTGTATCGCAAAGGTGGTATAATATGTTAGATTGTCGCCACAAAGAATAAACAAGTTCAAGAATACGATCAAATATTATGGGTTACAAATGAAGGTATCTATGTAGTAACACCCCTACCTGATGGAACTCGACTTTTGAGTTATTGATTTATGCCGAGAGGCATTTATGGAATTTGGCATAAAAGGTATTATTTATTTTAAAGTTATATTAAGCTTTTCAGCAAGGAATTTAAATTTTATATTTTGTGAAATTCTTTAAACAAACATATCTCATTCATTTTAAGTCGGATTGATAAACAGTTTTCTCCAATATGTAATTTAACGTTTGTAGATAAAGGTAGACTATAATATTGCTGTTTTTTGTGTTATATTCAATTAGTTATAATCCTTCGAAGTTGGGATATCAAAGCTGAAATATTTCAGTTTTTCAACAAGAAATTTAAATTTTTTATTCTATGAAATTCTTTAAACTAGAATATCTCATTCTTTTTAAGTTAGATTGACATGCGATTTTTTCCAACTTGTAATTTAGTGTTTGTAGATGAATTTAGACTATAATTTTTATGTTTTTGATGTTATATTCAATGACTAACAATCCTTCAACATTGGGATATCAAAGCTAAAATATTTCAGCTTTTCAGCAAAAAATATAAAATTTGTATTCTGTGAAATTCTTTAAACAAACATATCTCATTCGTTGTAAATTGGATTGACATGTATTTTTTTCCAACGTGTAATTCAGAGTTTGTAGATGAATTTAGACTATAATTTTGCTTTCTTTGGTGTTACATTCAATGAGTTACAATCCTTTAAAGTTGGGATATCAAAGCTGAAATATTTCAGCTTTCAGCTATTATTTCAATTATATTCAATGTATTTGGTGTTATATTCTATGAGTTTGTAGATGGACTTATGATAGATAAATCACATTAAAGGGATCTTGGTAGAGTATTGGAAAATTCTGACTTCGAAATTGTAACAGATATGGTGAAGTTCTTTGAAAATTTAAGAAAAAAACAGAGCTTGTTTAGGCTATATCAAAACCTTTGGTAAATCTTTTCATTCAGGAAGTCTTATTTGGAAAATTAATTTTGCAAGTTATAATATTATAGACAAAGTTAGATTAGTTATGCATAAATATTATAAAGTCATTAACTTATTTGATTCACTGCTCAAACAAATGGTATAAACAATCAAAGTTTGTCTGGTTCAATGGGTACAAGTACCATAAACATATTCATTTTTACTAGTTGTATTGTATCATACACAAAAACGTATTCATTGTAACAAGTTGTAACGTATCAAACCCAACAACATATTCTTTTTAACGAGTTGTATCAAACCCCAAAACACGTTTTAACGACTTGTACTATATGCATCTAACCGGTGCGTGTCCAAGAACCGGAAAACCGGACCTGGACTTTGAACCTGTAAGTCTCATCCAGTCTTGTCCACAATCGACAATATTCTTTGAACCCGGTCCCGTCCAAAAGCTGGCCCGATTTGGTTCAGTCTCGTCCAGTATAAATGCTCACCCCTAATGTAACCCTTTCGAATGGTATTGAGAAATCGTTCTTTGCACTTTTAATTATTATTTGGAACCTCTATTGTCATGGCTATATCAAAATAGCATCAAACATCGGTTTTATTGATCCTGAATTCCTGAATTCCTGAACCATAAGTCTTTCAAGCTTTATGTTTTTTTACTAGTAGTATCGAACCTTAATTCGATGGGTCGTGGTGATTTCTCAATAATACCAGACCATAAACTATTTGAAGGTTATGGTTTATTCTAAAATAATATCGAACCATGATTTGGCGGATCATGGTGATTCTAAAAATATCGAACCATAAACTGTTTAAATGTTATGGTTCATTCTAAAATAACATCGAACCATGATTTGGCGGATCATGTTGATTGTAATAATACCTAACCATAAACTATTTGAAAGTTATGGTTCATTCAAAAATAACACCGACCCATGATTTGGCGGATCATGGTGATTTTAATAATATCAAACCATAAACTATTTGAAAGTTATGGTTTGTTGAAAAATAACATCGAACCATGATTTGGCGGATCATGGTGATTTTAATAATATCGAACCATAAATTGTTTGAAAGTTATGGTTCGTTTTAAAATTACATCGAACCATGATTTGGTAGATCATGGTGATTTTAATAATATCGAACCATAAACTGTTTGAAAGTTATTGTTCGTTTTAAAATAACATCAAACCATGATTTTGCGGATCATGGTGATTTTAATAATAACGAAACACAAACTCTTTGAAAGTTATGGTTTGTTCTAAAGTAACATCGAACCATGATTTGGTGGATCATGGTGATTTTAATAATATGGAACGATAAATTATCAACGATCATAAATCAAAAGATTACATTAAAGATCATAATCAA